CATGCCAAAAAATAACTGTTTCAATTAACTGCAAAAAAATCAGATTTTTTACGATACATATTTAGAATTATTGTAATGGCATACTGTGCACAAAAATTATGCAAGAGTTTCAGTTAAAAATAAAAAATGAAAAATTATAATCATAAATAAACCGAATTTATTTAGTTTAATCAATTCGAACAATGAAAAGAAATGCATAAAATTGTATATATATATATATAATACTATACAGTTATAGTATAATTTTAATAGTTATAGTATTCTTTCAAGTGTTCTACTCATTTCAGTTTCAATCATAGTATTCAATTTTCTTAATTAATTCATCCCTCCCTTCTTCCCTCCTTCATTTCTGCTCTCAAAATTTGCCTATCACTTCAATTTCATTTGCTTGCTTGCATATGTCACAATTACTCCATTCAATTTATTATTAACAATAAATTAATCTTGTAATTTTTCTGCTTTAAAAGATGCAAATAAACGCATTTTCCGTTTAACAACGTTTCTTGCATATATGTATTGAGTGATTGGGTTTAACTGCAATTATATGCCAATTAGACTATTTATCTATATGACCTTTTTGTTTATTAAATTTTTTTGCCTAAATTCCGTGTAGTGATATATAAAACTTTTAATGCTTATATCAATTTTGTTGTTAACAAGGGTTATGTTTTGCAGCCTTTTGTATTTATATTGTCTGTAAAATATAATTTTGTACAGTTTCGCTTCAGCAATTTTTAATTTACTAATTCAAAATATTATAAAAATCATTTAAATTTTCAAAATTTTCAGCATGAATTAATTTTTATTGTAAAGACGAATTTAAGTTTGAGATTTAACTTTAAATCTTTTCTATCTATTTTGTCTTTTGTACAAAATATCATATGAATACCAGTAAACTTTCAGCTTTTTTATGCATATCATTGATAACCAGCAATTTTTTTAAGAAATAATTCAGGTGAAGTCTTTAAACTCGCTTATTTGTAATATGGAAATTATAGGATAAAAATAAGTAGCACTAATTGCAGAATATGATTAACACACCAAAATTATCACCAGTTCAAAACTAAAAATTGGGTTGTTGAAAATCTGCAATTAGAATTTTAAAAAATACCCAAGTATTTTAAACTTCAAAAAGTTATTGCAAGTCTTGTAAACTAACTCTACAGTAACAATCTCAAAATACAAATAAATTTAGCGTTTCAAACATTTGTGATAAAATTCATTGCATTTTGCTTCAAAAAATTGAAAGTTATCATCTGTGCATGTCATGCTATATCATTAATTCACTTAACTGTTTGCATAAATTACTTTGACTTTAAATTTTATATAGTTTATTACTGTATACGCTTTTATCATAAAAGATGAAAAATACTGTCTAAAGAATAAAGAAATGGCAATTATGCTAAAAAGCAGGAGCCATTCTCGTAATCTTCTCTGGAATCAAGATTAAAATCATAGTATAGTATTTTGTCTTAAACACATTTATATCCTGTGGTTATTTCAGTCTTTCTTGACATCTTAATAATCTTTGCTATTTTTGAAACTACCTCACATAGTATCAATCTGAAGCCCAACTGATTTTTCTGTTATTACTTATCTATTATTATTTAATCAGGAGATTCTGATCAAATCGAACTATTCGTATTATTACTTAATTATTATTACTATTTCTCAATTTCACTCCGTGTCTCGTCATTATTTCTAACTTTGATCAGTTATGACTGAAAATTGAAGTCTATTATCACTTATTTTAATTTTTCAGACTTTCAAGGTTCAATGCTTTTTGTGGGTACAACGTGATGAAAAGGCATTGTTCATTTCGTTGAGAAAATTTATTTCTGACAATGAAAATGAAATGACTTCTTGTCTTATTCACTTATTATCCATACTTTTATTTGCTGTTCTCTAAATAAAAAACAGTAATAACATATCGTTAAATATTTAATTAATTAAGTAACGTTAAACGTTATTTGGATTTTTAAAGTATTAATTAAATAATTTTTACTTTCTTTTAGTTAATAAAACAATTAATTCAGATAAAATTTTGCTACTTACACAGTTTTCTGAATAATTTTGCTGGAAAGTTCAAATAAAACTTTATAATGTTATAAATGTATTCATTTGTAACAAAAATTATGCTAAATAAATACTTGAGAAAATAGAATAAAATAAATAATAGACATTTCTATCAGTGAATTTGAGTAATTACATTCTAATTATCGGATAGCGATAATATCACAATAAATGACTCCGGCAAGATAAATGACAGATATTTACGAGTAAAAAAGTAACAAATGATTGTTGCACCTTTTACCGTTTTCTTCGTTTCTATGTATGTATCTATCTATCCATCTATCTATTTATCTATCTATCTATCTATCTATCTATCTATCTATCTATCTATCTATCTACTTTACTCTATTCTGATTTATTTTTCATAGAATAATAAATGTTCGACAGTCACATATGAACTGAAAAAAAGAAACTTAAAATTTTTTCAGTTATTTAATATAATGTGCAAGCATTTGTATTATCGAGATATTTCACTTCAAATTTAAATATTTTATCTTATAAATATAAATTGATGATGTAATATTCTATTAAAACATTTTTTCATTTTTAGTATAAAACAAAAATATTCAATGAAATATGAACTTAAGTATTACTGTAATCATTGTGATCTTATCTTTCATACTTGATTTACTTTCATCTATTTGACTACTTATATGTACAAAATTAAAAAATAATTCAAAACATTGAACATGCTATTATTACTGATGAAAATTGCTATATAAATGCTAATTTTTTTTTGAATTTAAATAAGAATGAAAAAAGGCTTGAAATATTTTAATAGCAATAAGAGAAGTAGTAGCCCTGTTTAAACATAACTACAACAATCATACCAGGTGATGATGATCGTTTATGTGATAGGCATCATTTGTTACCCTCTCTTCCACTCCTTTTCTATCATTTATTGCATAGCGCTTAAATCAAATACAAATTGATCTAAGCTACCGTATTATTTCAATTTAAATTTTTATAATTTTAAAATTTATTCTTTGTTATTATTATAATTTGAAATTTGTTCTTTGTTATTGTTATAAATTGTACATAATTAAATTTTGATATTTTTACATCGTTGTTAAAGCAAAATAGTAAGCTGTGAAGTAATTTAAATTTAATTTTTTCAACTCTCAAACATTACCTTAACTTTTTACTCTCGTTTCTTATTTAGTTACTCACTTACTTATGTTTATTTACATGCCAAAATTTCTGACTAAAACATACGAAATGTAAAATATATTAAAATTTTTTGAACATTAACACTCTCACTCTGCATTGGATAATTGAATAGTTATAACGAGAAAATTTATTGCTGCTTTCCTAATTATTGCAAGCAAAAGTAAATTGAAAATTAGTTAGAAGGATTCAAAATGGCATATATATATATATATATAATAAAATAACTAGTAGTGAGACATGCGACAATTTGATGTTTTATTTTTCGTCCACTTTAGTATTACTTTTGGTTTGAAGTATAATGCATGAAGAATGCGACAAGAACGGATATACTCTTAAACAAATTATATAAAAAGCATAAAACTTTTCCTTTCCGGTCTCAGCTTTTTATAATCGCTAACTTTGTTTCAAATAGAAATAGACTAAAGTTCAATGGTTTTTCCTTTAGTTTGACCCAGCACAACTACTAGTTTTTATTAATTTTTTTTTCTTTTTTGGAATTATACCCTTGGGCAATTCCAACTGAAAAATGACAAAAAATAAATGAATTGTCAGAAAAAAAAAGACTTAAGGCTAGATTAGATTATATCCATTTACCTGTTTCACTGAGTATTCTTTTTATCATTATAAATTTTACATAAGCTTCTAAATGCTTCATTTTAAATACATTTATTAATTGATCATAGTTTGTTTAAGAGAAGTTATTATTGTGATAATTTTTTCATCTTGCTAATTATAAATAAATTTATTGCTATCAAGTAATGATTACTATCTTGATAATACTTTTTGCGCATTTTAATCTCAAATTATTAAGATTTCATTAGGATTTTTAATGATTTGTGTTTAAATATTAAATTTAAATAATAAACATTTGTTTATTCACATACTACATCTTTTTTTGCTTTCATTTGAAGAATGATAAATTGTATATCATTTCTATCGCACAGTTTAATCTCGTATTTTGTTATGGTACTTTAATTGCATGCATGTGAGCAGAAACTTTGTATTATAGTTCACCAATGCATTACTTTTAGCTTTAATAGCAAACTACTGCAGATAATTTTCGCATCAAGTTACTGTTTAAAATACTGTGCAACATTATTATATTACAATGTTAATGCTTTTATATGAAATTTTTTATTTTGAAATGTGGATAACTTGTAAATACATTATTTAAGGAAATTGTTTCTAATCATCTTTATGGTCAACAATTTTTAAAAGCAATTAATTAATTAGTTATTCTGACTGACAAATTATCACTCTGAATAAAATACAAATTCTAGCCTTTATGATTTTATTGATTTACTTTGTAAATTATATTTTGTATGTAGGAATTTTTTTGCAGAATTACAGCAGAGTAGATTAACTGAAAATGATGTTTGCATTTATTTCGTTTGTGGTTTTTTTATGCGGTGATTTACTTGCAAAATAAATTTTTAATTATTGTAAAATTTATCAGAATTATGCAATTTGTCTCATCGTAAACAAAATTGAGTGAAGCTGAAAGAAGATTCTTACAATAACATTTCCAGTCATCGTTTTCATTCATTATCATATTTTTGTACTGTTACAATACTTTTTATATAAAACATTTCTTAATTTTATTAGTACAAATTAAAATTCACTTAAAATTCACATTTCAATTTTACAAATAAATATTATTAGTTTACATGCATTAAGTTAAGAAAAGACTACTCTATTACCGTATATATTTGTAAACTGTTATACAACAGAATTTCATGAATTTCAGGACGAGAAAAATGCTTGCAAACATTAACTGCGCGCAATTCTTTCTCAGTGCCTTTGCTATTTTACAATTTATGCTAATTTCTAATGTGACTGCTGAAATAAACCAAATTTTTGGTGGTAAAGAAAATTCATTGGAGCATAATATCCAGCAATATGGTCGAACGAATTTTTCATGCTTTAATGGTGGCTCACTGATTAATGTTAGTTATGTCATTTTTAGGCACTGAAATAGAATTCCAACAATATATTACTTTGCAATAAAATTTGTGTTCATAAGCAGTTCAGTCTTGTTTCTTTCAGACAACTAAATAACTTCTGATGATGCCAGCATCTTTTTTTTTCTTTTTTAATCGTAGAAATTTTTGAACTCAAGTGAATAAGTATTGATAAGTAATAAAACAAAATAAATTGGCTAATAAAATATTCAATTTTATATTTTATGCAAACAATAAAAGTAATATTATATCTTTTAATTTCTATCTATAAGTCAAAATAAGTATTATCAGTTGCAATCATCAAGTGTTCATTTTGACGATTAAACTGATAAAAAAATATGACATTATTGTTGCTTCATTTACATTTTTGATATGAAATGTTGCAAATAATAAGTGACTGAAACTGATTTTTCAATTAAGCAATACAAATTAATCTATCCAATTATTTATCTACAAGTCAATTAATTCTCATGATTTTTTCACAAATAATAAAGAAATGACGCAAGCTGGCCTTGAGCTTGTCTCAATGATCACTTTTTGGCATTTTTGAATGATAACATTAAACCCAATTATCTTATCTTGACAAAAAACAACCAAGAAATGTGTGCAATGATGCATTATTAATGTTAGTAATGATAGCAAATTATTTTTCTTGAAAAGATATACTTACAAATGGTAATATACTGAAAAATTAAGTAACTTCAAGCAAATACTTTCAGTTGGATATAATACTTATATTTCATACACATATTTTGATATGCAATTGTTTGAGATGCATTAAAATACAGTTCAAAAAAAAGGCAATACTCTTGCTATATTTATATTTAAAACATACTTGACTTCCAAAGCTAAATTCTTTTATTAATTTGAAAATATTTGGTATTTACGTTCATCTAAATTTCTAAATTATTTAATTAAAGGGAAAGTGTCATTGTCAAGAACGATTTGAAGGAGAAGCTTGCGAGATTGAGCCATGCTTACATGGAGGAAGAAAGTCAGCAGTAGGCAAATGCCACTGTCCATTTGGCTTAACAGGTCAAATATTCTCTAATTATTGAGAGACTCAAATTTTCAAAATCACTACTTAACATAATTAAAACATAAAATTGCATTTTCAAATTGCATATATAATGGGAAAACTTTTTTTATATGAAAAATCCAATCATGTTTTAATTAAAATTATACATAATTTCATCAGTATAATTCAACGAAATTATAGAGAAAATTGATTCACAATTTGCAGTTTAGACAAACTTTATTCACACAGCCATTTTCAAATTCATTCTACTTCATTAGCGTTAGCTTTCTTAAAATGCATAATATAAGCGTAAGTCAAGAGAATAGTTGTCTTTATAAATTTTTTCAAATTCATGAAATAACACTGTTAAAAAGAATACCAATTATGTAATTCAATTACTTTTTTTTATTACTGCAAATGAATATATAATTACTGATATTACTTGAATGTGAAAAAAGTGTAAAAGTTTGCATATTTTTCTCATATTTTCATTTATAACGGATTAATTAATTAAATTAAATTAAAAATGCTAATCATTTAACTATATATATTCAAAAAATTTCGACAACATCATATAATTAATGATTAGCATTATTTAATTTTATATATATATATATATACATGACTTTATTGCAATTTATTGAATCAATTTGAAAAATAGAATGATTTAGGTGAGAAATGTGAAATTGTGACCCATTGCATCGAAGGTAAAGGTAAGTTGGACAATGGACGGTGTAAATGCAACGATCGATGGACAGGAATATTTTGTCAGACTAGAATGTGTCATAATGGAGTTTCTGTTGGAACTGGAACACAGGTAAAAGATGACAATGATATTGAGATAAATTTGAACTGCTTTTTGTGACAAACACTTTAGGAAGCAATTTTTGCTCGCAACAAAAATGTATGAAAATAAGTATTGCTTGACTTTATAAATGAAAAAGATATAAAATTTTTAGATGGGTAGTTTTTGCCTTTGCGATATCGGCTTTACTGGTCCATTTTGTGAAACTGCAATCGAATGTATTCATGGTGCAATCACTACAGAAAATATTTGCACATGCGCACCAAACTGGGAAGGTGAAGATTGTAATCAGTGCGCATACGGTAAGATTTATTCTCTATAGTTTAGAAGAAAATTTGCATTTAATTCCATAAGCAAAATATTGTTAGAATAAAGAAAAGACAATATCATTTACTGTACTACAAAAGAAATAAGTCGTAATCATTTTAATAATGATAATTATTTTCTGTTTATTATATTGTTCTGTAAAAGAAAATAAATTGCATCCAAAAATTTTAATGCTTAATAGTCCTTTCAACTGAAATGTGAACCATTCCCATTAGAATGATTGAAATTTAAATATTTATTATATGTTTAATTATTTCGATGCTTATGAAAAAAGTGCTAGTTTGGATAAATAGATTTACCGTAATTAAATATGCTGCACGAAATAAATTTTAAGGGTGATAAAAAATGTTTTTGGTTTTTTGTACACGGTATTACATATCAAAAATGTAAATCATTATTGGTTTTCATTCTCAAAATTTTAATTTTGTATCAAGTTGCAAATTAGCATATATCTATATCTATTTGTACACTGATAATTTTAGTATTTCCCATTTAGGATATCAAATAGTTGGTGATGATTGCAAGTTAATCGTAACCGAAGATTCACTTGTGTCTATTGAAAACCCGAAAGTTATTACTTTGTGGTCAACTGTTTTGGTGTCTACAGCTGTGATCTTATTCGTATTACTTATCGTTACTGTGACTACCATTTACTTCAAAAAATGCAATAGTAAACCAAGTAGGATTGGTTCAGATGCTGGCACTGATGTATAGCTAACAAATGCTGTAATACCATCCTTGTTACCGCTGTTATTGTAACGCTAAAAACTTGAAGTTATTTTTAACTGAAAATTATTTCATTAAATATCATTTTCATTCGAAATTTATTGTTTTTGTTACAAACTAAGGTTTTAAAAGTAAGCAAAATTACAAATTTATTCTTGCGTATCTGTAAACATTTGAATATACTTTCCGAGTGCAAAAACTTTTTATAAACATTAAAATTTCTCTAGGAATTGAAAGTAGAAATGTGCGAAATATAAAATCATTTATCAAAATGTACTTGAAATAATATACTATAAGTACTATATTATGTTCATTTAATTCAAACAATGCTTTTTAAAAGTGCTTAGAAATTATAATTTGTTAGATATTTCTTTTTTCACTTTAATATTAGTCTTTTCTTTTTCAAATTTTGAATTGATTGCAATTAAATTTTGAAGTAATAAAATTTTTCATTAATAACACTAATTCAAAATTTTCAATTATTTGTTGAAAAATTTTTGTGACAAATTTAATAGTATAGTTAAAATTGTCAAACTTTTGAATGATTTTGACTTAATTTATAAAAAATCGGAAAATTAAGAAAATTGTAGACAAGATCTGTTTTCTATGCTACCATTTGATTACCTCGATTTAACTATTCAATTTACCAATTGCTATTTGTGTATGCTTATATGAAAAAACAAAAAAAAAAAAACTAAAAATAATTGTACTTGACTAAATATCAACTATGCTGATATTATGATAATCATTGCATGAAATTGCCTCGTTTCAAGTTTTTTTCATCTTTGGTGAACAATTTATTTTTGCTCTTAGCACTGCCAATTTTTTTTCAATTCATTTTGTCTAAATAATTTGAATTAATTTTGTTCTAAAAAAAAGAAATTCTTTGAAATATAAAACTGTATTGAATTGCTTTGGAATTTCAGTACAGTTTTCATTTTTCGTAGCTAAAGTTTTTTTATTCTTAGCATTTTTGATTTTCGAATTATTTTAATACAATTTTTTTACATAGGTAATTTGTGTGAAATGCATTAGCACTGATGGATTTGCATCAGATTACTTAAATTCACTCATCCATTCAACAAGTTTTGTTTTATTGCAGTAATTATGATAAGTGTTGTTCTTGAAAGTGTGTAATATTATTGTGATTTATTGTAGAAGAAATACTGAACTGCATATATTGCTTTTGTCTTCTTAAATTTTGTATCTTTTTAAGGCATTTTTTCTTATTTTGAAAAAGTGACTTTGATTTGAAATATTGACACCTAAATATCAATAAGTTTTCATTTGTCGTATTAAATTCATCTTGCCATATATAATAAACGAATAGTAATTACAGTAGTCATTTGACACAATATTTATTAAGTTTTGAAGCATTGAGAGTAATGACATATATTGCGATATCTTGAAATTAAATTAAGTTTAATTACATAAAATAAACATGCAGTGTTTTTTATGCATTAATCTACCAAGGAATAAGTGTAGTTGAAGTGTAAGATATCTTATTAAAAAGCTCCTTTAAAAAAATGTAATTAGCCAAGATTGCAAACAAAAATCTCTTGATTCACTTATTGCTACTAATTTAATGAATTTGCATCAAATTCACTCATATTTTCTGTAAAATCATAAAATAAAAGATATTTCAAACTTAACATTAAATATCGCGATATAATATCATACAAAAAAAAGTAATAGATATTAAATAGCAAAGAAGCAAGGAGTGTTGTTATCAAATTGCATTATTCATAAAATTAGGCATTAAAATGTTAAACGATATGAATGCATAAAAAGCAGAAATATTATTATATTTATCTTAAGAGATATTTGAATTAATCGGTATTATTATAATCTTATATTTCAATTATTCAATTACTTACATTTGTTGCATAAAATTGCTCATATTATTTTTGAATTTTAGTTGAACTAAAAGGATTTAATAAAAAATAAAAATTTTAAATCATTTTTAGAATTTAACTTTAATTCTAAAATTTTATTCATAATACTGATGACCGATTTAGAAGATTAAAAGAAAATAAATTGAATATTATTCACTTATTCATTTATCTACCGGCAGTACAATTTTAAGATGATAAAAATAATCAACTGCTGCGTTTTATAGCAAATTTATATAGCGTGGAAATTTTTTGTTTAGTATCACTTTTCCCTAGCTACTTGCTCATAAATATTTTTTCAATTAAAGTAATATATGCTAAGCAGTAAGTAATATTTTCAACTAAAATAAATTAGCCTATAAATTTACAAGGATATTCGAGGCTAAATTTGTGCTATGATTATGGCAATCCATGTCCATTGACTTAAAATATCAATTTTGAATAGAATAATAAAAATAATGTATTTACTTTTATTACGTTGTACAACAGATTTTGTCATCGATAACCATTTATTTTATTTATTTTATGAACGGTAAATTATTTTAATGGCAGTAAAATGACGTTTTCATTCGTTTTGCGCAGTTCATATTAAATTTTAAATTATTTCAAAGGAAACAAATTTTAAATTTGAAACATTTAACGCAAGCACGCTATTAATTTTGACATTAGCTTATTTTTCATCAATAGTTAATAAAAATCAGAAATTTTTTTTCAAAAACAAAAAAGTCATATGCTGTACAACATAAAACAATAAAAATTTAAAAATCATGCAGCTAAATATTAACGATGTTATCAAATTATGATACCGAATATGAATATATTTGAAAAATCTTTCGCCAGGTGCTTGACGAAAGCGAATCAGTTCAAATTTTTCTCTAATATCATGAGGTTCTTTGTACCTATGCCCTAAATTTATTTTTACAATAATCTTATATATACATATATTTGCTAAAATCTTTTTAACAGCTGTTTGATGAATTTTTTTCTGCTAAACAATCATTGCAAGAAAATGCACAAACTTATTTATTTATCCAAAATATTTTATGCAGCATTTTACACCAAAAAATATTTTTACTACAAGGTAAAAATCATGTGGTACATGACAATACTTGCTTGCATCAATAGTAATTTGCTACTTATATAGTAAAAAACATTGTTTTTAAAGCCTACCTTTTGCTTTACTCCAACAAAGATGATATTTTAAGCTTTCTACTTACATCTACATCTTTAAGCAGCTTATTTAAGTATTAGTGATGCAAAAATCAGCCCTCTAATCAATCACTTAAACATTTTCTAAAAATGATTCTTTAATGGAGATTAGTCTTATTGTTTAAACTTTGAATGAATATCATACGGAATCATTTATCAGTTGCTCACATCATAAATATCGAAAAGCAACTAAAAAGTAGTGAATACGATTTTCAGTACTTTTTTAGTCAGGACTGCTTTATTCATGATATTTGTAGGAAAAAAAAGCTAATCACATGAAACTATCAAATTATTTCAATAAAATAATAAGATGTCTGATTATAGAAGTAACGAAAAAGATTCGTTTGATTATTGTTTTGCATGCTTATAACTTGACAAAATATGAAGTTAGTCCTCCATTAATATCTAACTTTGATATATATATATATATATATATATATATATCAAAGTTAG